ATCATCATCATCATCATCATCATCATCATCATCATCATCATCATCATGGTTACACTAGTCGTGCCCAATTCCAAACATAAGCAGTAATAGTGCATCACGGGGGTTGGGAGACGTGATATATTTACTATCTCATGCCATGCCACCCCCTTGGAGGTGGTCCATGATATGAGCGTGGGTTACAACAACACACTCAAACTCAAAGCATTCAAAAGGTGGCTGCCTGCCGGTCGACGTGTGAATTCTGAGCCACATCCAGTAACGTAAACTGTTGATACAACCCCCGCTTTTGGATTGTAAAACCTCGTCATATGGAGGGCTTTATTCATCAACTGTCCACTTTTTCTTCAATTTACCTGGTGGAGTCCGCAATCAGTGAGGTCGACCACAACTAAGTCCCCAAACCCACGGTGTCAGCCACTGGAGCTGGATTGCCCTGGCCCCGCGTTTGCACTTTGGTCGTGTTGGTTGCATCCTTTGAACCACCAAGCGGTTGGCCAAATTCCAGTTCCAAACGCTCCCTGAGACTGGAGTATGTACCTTACATTACCTTACATAATATAATATATATAAACAATAATCATTAACTCATTAACATCTTTTTGTTCACCACCCGGTCTGTGTCTGTCTGTCCAGTCCCATGAGTTGGGAACCATCCCCCAACATCCCAGAACCGCCGGAAGACCGCGCGGTTCTGACTGGGGGAACTTGTTCGGTCTTCGAAGGACCAGGGAGCTTCCAAGTGGCAAATGCCTGGTGGCACACCTATCATCCACTGTGATGTTGTTTTTTCTTGAACCCAACTGGTGGTCCATAGATGCTTGTTTAAGCTTGGAGAGGGGCCAGCAGAGTGTATACATTGCGTCAAAGGTCTTCCGTTTCGCACTCCAAAACTGACGTTTCAGCGGTGGAACTGAGCGCTGCTTTTCCTGTTACGGCTCATGGGAACGGAGGGACACGGCTGGGAAGCCGAAGCCCTGATCGAAAACATGAACGGTCGGACCAACCCAAGAGGTAGGACCAACCCAAGGCAAGACCAACCCAAGAGGTGTTCACTGACATCCACGGACCAACCCAAGAGGTTGAGAGGTGTTCACTGACCACCAGCGGTAGGTTCCACGCTGAAACTGAATCACAAAACAAGCGAGCACTCAGCGACACCAGATTCCATGTCAATGTGGATCTCGTCACACAACTAGAGTCGCGCAAAGATAATAAAGCGCGCCCATATCTGTGATGCCGTATAGGAGGAATTCGAAGTGGCAGCCATGTAGCAGGAAGGGGAATGTTGATGCTGATTGACGCTGTGTATCTTTAAATTGAGCTCATCCATAAACCTGACACCCAAAGTCATCATCCAAAGGCCCAGTCGATATATTACAACCCCCCCCCGTGAGTGAAGATATCTTTAAACAGTGAACAAACATCAATCTGATGGAAACAACATCCGTCTCCTGCAGCATCGCTGGAGGCTCAGCTGCTTGGACTGGTCGTTCGGAATCGCCGGAATCGCCGACGCAGCGGCAGCGACGACTCGCTCCACCTCAAAGTCGATGGTCTTCGGCGACGTGCAGGGTGGCGAGGCGCTCATGGATGTGAACTTCCTGAGCGAACGCCGAGAAGCTGCCGCTCGGAACCCCATGGCGAAAAGTGTTCGGAAACTCAAGGTTCCTGCCATTGAAAAATACCAGCAGCTAGCAGGCTTGAAAGCCATCATTGGCTTATATATATATATATACCAAGTGATGCGCTCACTCCAAGACTTTGCGCTCACTTTGGGGATTTCCGGAGCGGCTCCGGGAGAAAAATAGCCAAACAAAAACAGAAACCACGCTCCAGTCGTCAAGACCTCGTCATGACCTCGATTTTCGTCCACCGTGTTGGTGAACCGAGCGCCCTGCCCGGAGGGGGTCCGATAGTAAGCCGTGGCCTCAGAGGTCAGGAGTGGCACTCAGCGTGGCACTCAGAGTTCGAGCATCTTTCGGTGCCCAGAGCAACCCGGAAAACTAGAAGACCATATGAAGACCATACAAGTCAGTGGATATTCTTTTTCGCGAGGTCAAGGGTTGCGTGGTTGGATGTCTTAGGATTGCAGGTGTACGGACCAATGGTGGAATTTAGCCTCTCTTAGGCTCAAAAGGGTCTATAGGGTTCTTCCCGGCACTTCTTTCCGGGAGCCCCGACCCCATCTGGACCACGCGTCATGATCACCTGCCAGTGCTGCAAAGCAGGTCATCGACTCTCTCCCAAAAACTCTTGTGCACCCTTGCTTTTCCACACCACTGAATGGATAAAGATTATGAGTGGTCTGTGACCAAACTATTCAGTGGTCTGTGAATAAAGTAGCTTCGTCTTTAGGCTCATTCTTGGCTGAGAGCAGCACCAGCTTGGCTCCCTTCTGCAGCCACCTGTGCGCACGGCTGGGCTGATCAAAACAAAACGATTTGGTGAATGAAGTGTCCTTGGAAAACTAGGGTTTCTAGATTGATTATTGTTAGCTCTTTGGAATGATTGGTTGCTGGGATTTATGGTACAAACTTGGTGAAAACACATGCTTAACACAAAGAGACGGCTCCCAGGAATGTAGCCTTTACCAACCTGGCAAGTCGCAAGTAGGCATGGACAGCATCTGGTGCTGCCAAGAGAAATTGGACTCTTGGACCCAAAGCTGATTACGATTCCTATGATTTGAATTCATCCGCCAACAGAAATGAGATATGACTCCATATGTGGACATATGTCATGTGTGGGAAGCAGGAGAGTCCTTCATATGGAGGTCCTTCCCATGCGAAAAAGTATTTGCATGTCGGGCTGGGCATGCAAATTCCGTGGTGCTGATGCATCCAAAGGCTTGCAAGCTTGGTTAGATTTGCCTTGCCACCTGGAATGCCATGAATGTTGCATGCGCTTGGAGGGAATGTCAACTGTTCCATTCCACTGTCCACGGCATAGATTAAAGCACTCACGTGCAGACGAGACACTTGTTTGCAATCGCCTCCCGTGCAGACGAAATCCAAACCGGACACGACACGGCAAACCGTCTTTCACCGGACACCACGCTGACGCGTCTGCATGTGATGTCGCGCCTCCAAATCGCAATCAGCACCATACAAGAACCTCAGACTGGCGGATGCACCGCACTTCTAGTATAATCTAACTTCTAGTATGGCCAAAACACACCACACAGCGGAGGGAGCTCATGTCTAGCACGATCATCTTCCGAAATGAGGACCTGTCGGACCTGTGCATGCGGACAGTGAAATCACTTGTTGCATCTTAGGTTGGTTCACCAACCTGCAGTAGGGGGCCACTTGCAAGGATCGGACGTTGAACAGATCGCTTGTCGTTGTTTTGCGATGAATTTAGCGAAAGGTTGATGAATTCCTCTGCGCTTGATTTGCCGAAAACGAACATCGGTCAACTTGTCGACCGATCCCAAAAGAGAGGGGAACATGTGTTGTTTAACGTGCGCTGATTGATCTGCAACGATTTTAGCTGAAAGGAGGAAACAAATGCATGATTGATGTCATGATGTCATCACCCTGGCTGTTTGTAGTTCACTGCGCCGGTCCTCAGGGCATTTTTCATTGGTGTTGTTGTTTCTTCTAATTGTGAAAGCCTTGGATGCGGTATATATAATATATGTATACAAATATTATGATGCATACTTATAACTTAGCACTCTCCCTGGAAGTGGAGAATGGCTCCATTGGATGACCATGTTACTCTACAAACAGGTGGTTTTCCACTATTATACTCTTGTTGCTCTTTGCCGCTGCACCCAAACCCAGCAGAACTGCCTTGGGAATGAAGAAGTGCAGCACGAACAATGGTGAATCAAACTTTCAGTGTAAGCCGCAAAATCCGCACATCACCAACACGGAAGGATAAAACCCACGTTTGGGCAAAACCTGGAGTAGGGGTCAATATAAACTTGATACCTGACCTAACCTACCTCATCCTTTAACTCATGACTGCTTATGAGGGGTCCCCACCATAAAATCTACCTTGGTTCACGGGATAGCCAACCAAACCAGGTTATATCATATGGGTTTGGGTCCAAACCCGGGGCACCGACTCCTGGTAGATTGACCTCCCTCGTAGTCTATTCTGTTCAACCATGCACCCCCGAATTTGACCCACTGCCATAATTGTCAACCAGGTGTTCATGTGGAGGGTTAGGGGAGCTCAAGGCTAACATCGAACCTGTCTGCCAGCACCCCTTTGGGTGGTTAATAGGCTCCCTTAGAAAATGTATGTGTCATCCAAGAACCCCAAACCCGGGTGGTGCTGATGGAGGCCCTCCTCCTCCTTTCCGAGTCGTTGAGCGCAAAAGCCTTCCGCCCGCCTCCCCCTGAGTTCGCCGGGCTCCGCGTCGGCGTCCGACGACTTCACCAGGTCGCAGTGCCCAATGAAGTCCTTTGGGGAGAAAGCGACGACGGGGCAACCCCTCCCAGGTGGTTGCAGTGCTACCCGCATGGTTCTCAAAGAGGAGTGCCAGTGCTGGCGTTTGGCCAGTTTTGGCGAACTCGCGGCTGTGAATGCAGTGGATAGATCGCTGGTGGGTCGCGCCAGCAGCCCAGTAACCAGCCAGTTCACCCAGGTCCACCGCTGTATAACCCGTGAACGAGATGGACAACCAAGTCAAGCATGGTCAAGTTTAGAAGTTTAGGGGTTACCTATGCCGAATTCAGTTCATGTAAAATCAAGGTCACTACGGTTATAACTTAAATCAAAAGTCGCTTAAGATTATGTCCAAGGCTCCCAGTGACGATGTTTGGGATTGTTGCTGGATCTCATTATTGAAGCTCACCAAAGAGGAATAAATTTCAGATCTTGAGATGTAGACATGCTGTGCTTGTGACTGGGAAGAGGGAGGCGGGTGTTGGTGAATTCTTCATGCTCCCAGGGTTCTACCCAAAGGTTCGCCGTCCAATCCACTTGAAACCTCGGCCCTCGAATCGTTCGACATACCGAACCTCCACACGCTTGGCATAAGCGCTTGGACCTGGGCGTTTGGAGGGCTTGTCTGACAGGATGCGGGTCTCAAAACTATTTAGCACCTATAAACATCTAAGGCGTACTGGTTTCAAGCACCACAAACATTATCAACCATTGAGCTGGAGCTGCCAACGATGTAGCCAGGATCGAACATATGTCTGCACAAGAATCATTACCACGACCATGAAACCCCACAACTCTGCAAAGTTCCAAACATGTCCCAATCCGTGAAACACGTGAAAACACTTTGGTTTTCGGATGTCTTGGGCAATGTCCACCAACTTTCAGGCAAACCTGTCTTGCAGGGGGGGTTAGATCCCAGTCATGGTGAGTCTAACTGGAGTTTCCTCGCCCAGGCGCTGTCATATGGTGTCATCTTTTGTCCCCATGCAGTGTCATCTTTCATCGAGGCAAGGGGCTGCTCTTCACCATCGGCCCACGCAGATTGGGATCGAAGGATGTAAAGCCTGTGCGTGTCTGTGCGCTCATCGGGCCTTGGTCACGAAAATTCTAGCTCACTCCTGCCTACAGAAACAGCAACACAAACCTATGATATGAAGTGCCCACCGCATCCCGCACCTTTGACAGAAAATGTGTGGTACTCTTACTTACATGTGTGCATTGACATGCAAGTGAAGCGGACGCGAACGCTGGCTTTTCCGCCAAAGCTAAAGTCTAAGGCTCTGTGCGCACCTAGGCCGATATGGCCAGCAACGGCATCAGTCTCATGACGTGCCGAACGAACAGCCCTGCACAGCAAAGTTCACACTCCCAATTCTGTGTTGGGACTGATGCTCTCGGAGCTGAATCCAGGGCTTGGCAAGCCAGTTCATGAACACTTCAAGCACCTTGTCGCCCAACTTTGTAAGGGCGTCTGCCCATTGGAGGTGTGTTGGCACCCAAAAGACTTCATCTTTCGTCAGGTGCTGCTGGATCGATCTCACGACCACGATCGTCCGCTTGTCCTCTGTCCGAGGATTCTCACTGACCAGCACGTCGTAGAGGCTGCGGCAGTCCGTTACGGACACAAGGCGAAGTGTCCGCATCAGCTTGAATGCCGGCTTGTTCTGCAGGATCTCGGAGGCCAGGTAAGACATGAATGCCCCTCTGTCAACTCCAGTGTCACATGCACTGGCCTCTGCCGACAGAGTCGATCGGCACACCCTCGCTGAATGCGAGGACTTCCAGTCCACCAAGAGTCCCGGACTGGTGGTGTCCGTGGCCTTGGGTTCGGCAAACAGGAGGATGTTGCCATGTTGCGAAGCTGAGCCCATTGCATTGGCCCAACTGCTGTCGCTGTAGCTGACCACCAAGGTCTGCAGGTTCATCGCGACAGGCCACATGTGGATTCCAGCAGTTTTGGTCTGGTGGAGGTGCTCAACTGCCGTATACATGTTGAGGAGGTCCTTGTAGGTGGACTTGCCCCCTTTGCTTGAAAGGCTGACTGTCGCGGAGACGTCAGGTCGAGTCTGGCCTGACAGCCATTGCAAACATCCAGCAACTGACCTCATCTCAGGCATGTCTTCCGGCTGGATGGTCTGGTCTTGCCGCTTCTTGCACTCCACATTGCCAACCTTCATGCTCTCAATGAAGGCGGTCTGTGTCAAGGCCAAATAGGCCACATCGCCTTCCTTGCGAAGGCTCAGCTCTTTGCCCTTGAAGGTGAGGCTCTTGTCGAAGGACAACTGTTCTTGCGAGCCCCACTGAAACAAATCCAACAATTGCTTGCGGTCCCAGCGCTCATTGTGTGCCAGCATAAAATCATCAACGTATGTAATGAGGAGGGCCGCTAAACTGTCGTGGGTGTCACCGGGCAACTTGGTGTAGAGGTAGAAGAACATCTTGTCCAGTGAGTGCTGAGTGAAGTGGGCACGAGTGGTGACCATCTTGATCACGTGCATCCCCCATGTCCTTGGTGCACTGGCTTACACATTTCCTTCGATGCGGTAGAGCGGGCTCTTGAACGTGCCTGCCAGCTTGGTCACACCATCTGTCGGTGGTGACAGAAAGAGTGGGAGATGCCGCTCGTCTGGTCTTCCCTGCAGGAAAGCTGTCTTCACATCTCCAGCCCATAGGCACCATCGGTCGTTGTTGACCAGCATCCTGTTGTAGCCTGCTATGAACATGGCGTACAGGAGGTATTCCGACTGCCGGGTCGGGGTTGCTGACTCACGGTCGATGTGGTGCAGGTCTGGATCATTGTGGCCAAGTGCCACAACGCGCGTCTTGGCGCGCAAAGGGCCAACTCCCTTGGCCTTGTCCCTGTATGCCGCTCTGGCCTTGAGGATGCGGCGTTTGAGAACAGGGTCATGGTGCACTTCATCGGCTTCCTTCTGGGTGAGGGGCACCACTGAGCTGAACTGCTGCCAAGAGGTTTCTTCAGCTCTGGCTGACTCCACATACTTGGCGAGGTCTTCAGGTGGGAGTGCCATGATGCTTTGCCAAGGGATCTCTTTGTCCAAGGCTTTCTGTTCCTGCCTTGTGCGTGCCTTCTCCAGCATGCCACCGCTGGACTTCGTCAGTGGTGTCTTGACTCCTTGACCTCCCAAGGTCATGTCATCACATGAGATGTCGGAGTCACTGCTTTCGCCATCACCGCAGTAGTCATCTGTCTTGCGGTAGGCCTTGAGGGCCTGATGGCATGCGAATGGCATCCTTATTTCGTCGGATCCATCGCTGCAGGGTTCCTTCAACTGGATGCCCTCTGGTGTGTTCACCAGACTGGTGCTGTGCTGCTGCTGCTGCGGCGGGTCGGCCTGGTACCATAGTTCGGTGACCATGTCGGTGCGACTTGGAAAACTGTGGCGCTCGCTGGCGTCGTAGGGTGCATCCCAGATTGTTTGGCCACTGGGATGCAAAAGCACCCGTCTGTGCTGGATGCATCTCTGGGATCGGCTGTTCCATCTCGGAACTGCTCCTCTTCGAGGGGTGCTGAATGCCCAGTTCTGGCGGTGTGGTTGGAGCAATGTTCAAAAGGTGCTCCTGGCCTGGCGCTGCTTCTGGTAAGGCGTCCACGTCGATGACGTCTGGCTTCTCAGTCTGAGTGACAGCTGATGTGTCAGCTGGTACTGGTGTTGGGACGGACGGGCATGTTGACTGCATCCACTGTTCTGGTGTCATGCCAAATCGGTTCTGGGTCTGGATGACGGTCTGCCTGTAGCTGGGTGAGTGTACGTTCACCCTCAGGTCAACCTGTGGTTGTAGATATGGGTCTGTCTGAACGGCTTCTTTGTCCTGGCGTTGAACTTGGGGCAGGAGGTACTAGTAAAGGTAGTTCGGAGACCGGAATGTCTTCTGCCGTGGGCTCGATGGCATCATAGCCAAGGGGCTGTTCTGGATCATCTGGAGGGCTCTGGAATGCTGTCGTCCTGAAGCAGTCCATCCTTCAGGTTCTGGTCGGCGATGCGAAGCATCTGGATCTGGGTTCGGTCAGGCTCCCATGCTTCGAAGCCTTTGGCTGTTCTCAACTGGTGTGGTGCTACTCGGACCGTGTTTGTTCCGGCCTGGAGCCAGTAGCTTTTGCCGTCGGGGTCTTGTCCCAAGAGCCTGGCGAGTTTGTATCCGCCACGCTTCTTTCCACTTCTGGCTGTCCATCTCCAGTATGCCACTATGCTGCCGATCTCGGGGATGTCAGCTGCTGATGGCTTGGTGTTGCGAAGGAGTGCACGGCGTAGTGAGCCGTCGATGGACATTGCTGCCAGATGTTGTTGTGCTTCAACACGTAGCGCATCTGCTTGCATCTGTGTTTGTGATCGTGTCTGGCCTGTGATCAGGCCGTGTTTGTCGTCCAAAAGGCTCAGGCCTTGGCGTGGTATGCGGCCAAATGCTGCCACATATGGAGGACGGCCTGATGACCATGTGCATGAGTTCTTGGCTGTGGTGGCTGCAATGAGCACTTCATCCATGGCTTCTGGCCCAACTGCAGCTCGAGCATCTGCGATGCGCTCGACCAAGCTTCTGAGTGTGGCGTTGTGCCTTTCTATCAAACCAATCTTGTTGTGAGCCTCGGCGGGGATGTAGTCCATGAAGACTCCCTGCTCATCCATGTGGTCCTCAAAGGTGGACCTGAAGCTTCCATCAGCATCAGTTCTGATGCGGAGAGGGTAGCCGAAGTTTCGGCTCCATGCAGTCTGGAACTTGCGGGTGACCTCTTCTGGTGTGCGATCTGCCAGGAGTGTTGCCACGTGCAAGTGTGTTGTCTCACATATGATCCCCAGGACCAAGAAGTTGGTTGACTGGATGTCTGGGAGGTAGACGATGTCCATCTGCAGTCGGTCTCCAAATTGGCTGGAGCCAAAATCATCGATGCCACCTCCAGGATCTGGCTTGTTGGGTCCTCGGGTGCGATCACAAGCGTTGCACCTCATGGAGTCAACTGCGGTGTAAATGGTTGAGTTCTTCACACCGTTCATTGCCAGCATCTTCTTGAGTTCTGTGGCGTGTGGATGGCCCAGGTTCTTGTGGAGGCGACGAACTGCTGTCTTGACCTCAGCTGGTATCTTCAGATCAGCTGGAAAGGTGATTTCCTCCGTGGGCTTTGCCAGTCTCCTGAGAGGATCGTTCTGTTCTGCTGCTGCTTGTGATGCTGCTGCCTGTTCTGCTTGTGCTTGTTCAGGCTGTTCCGGTTGTGGTGCAATATGAGTGCCAAACATGAAGATGCCAACTTCGACTGGTTTCCTGAACCTTGCCTTGGGATGTCGTAGAAGTTGGAGGTCTTCTTCAATGACCTCGATGGTGCCATCGTTGTACCTGAGAGCGGCTGCTCTGTGTGTGTGCGGTATGTGTGACGGAAACCGCCAGGTGATTGGCTGCTTGGAGATCTGCACTCGCTCCATGTGGTTCCACTCGCAAAGTCGGCTGACCTTGGCAAAGAGTGGATCAGAAACTGGAAGAATGAAGCTCTTGTAGCGGGTCACTTGGAAGGTGGACTCTGCCATGTCCAATGCTTCGGACCATGCTGGTGCTGCCGTGTTCATGTAGACATTGTATGTCTTGCCTGGTGGTGTGCTCCGGTCTGGGTATTGGGCTGTGAGCTGGTCTCGAACTCCTTGAAGGATCTGGTCGACCAGTCTTGGAGGGTAGACCTGTGACAAGGTCGTCTCTTTGCCTTCCAGAGGCACACATTGCTTGAGCTGCTCTGGCGACAGTCGCCTGGTGAGGCGGCGAAGCACCATGGGACAGTTGCCTAGAAAACGGTGTCCCTTCTTGATCATCTGGCCCTTGGAATTGGTCGCTCCGTAGGCCCCAGCGTGGCATGCAGCAAACTCAACATTCGGCAGCTTGAGAAGGTCTTGGATGTCCTTCTCATTCCAAATCCTGCTGGTGAGAGGGTTCTCCAACAGGAAGTATCTTCCAGCGGCAGCTTGTCTGTGGCACCATTTGCACACTGCTTTGAGCATCTTGCGTGCCTTGGCACGTCTCATCAACAGCAGGATCTTTCGCCTGACGTAGTTGGTGTTGTCTTGCAAAAGACACCAATCCTTGCAGTCGATGCCTTGGATGAGGATGAAAGGTGTGAGCTCATCCAATGCCTGTTCAACCTGGAGCTGGTGAGCGGGCTTACTCAGGTCCCAACCGGTGTTGTAGTCCATAGGGTGTGCCGCTGTGAGGTGGTACTTGGGGCATCGCCAGGTGATATTGGCGGTGCCTGCAAAAGTCTCCAGGATGTCGACCTTGGGTCGTTTGGCTCGCTGCCGAGGTATGTTTTGGAGGTCGGGCTGATCATGGGCGGCCTGGTTCACCAGTGTGTGTTCGAGCTGGAGGACATGATGTGTCTGCCTCACTGAGTTTCGAAGATCCCTTCGGCCTGCTGACGTGAGGTAGGCACGAGAGCTGTTGTTGGTGCTCTCAATGGTGAAGATAGTGCGGCCTGTCCATGTCTTCTCAAGCTGGGTTGGAAAGGTGGTGTCCCAGCAGTATGTGATGGTTTCAAATGTCCCATCCTCATAGTTGATCTCAGCCCGGCACTCCGACGCAAGGCAATGTCGAGGGATTGGGCATTGGACTCGGTTGATGTCCATGAGGAGAATTCTTGGGAGAACATGGTGCCGGATGCACTTGTTCTTGCATGTCTCCCAGTAGTCGTGGTCGTTGAGCTCATCTGTCAAATGCCTCTCCAATCCCATGTCTCCGGATCTGATGGATAGCGATCCGGGTCGTCCGAGTCGATCAGATGCTCCATCGACACTCCTTCCATCATGTCGTGGTACTCCTCCTTGGTGTATGCCGGTGCCATGGTAGCCACCTTCGCCCTCCGACTGGCTGAGGCTGTGATGGATTGGCAGCTGAGGTGAACTGGTGGGCCTGACTGCTCCTTCCGAAGCTGCTGAAGTCTTCTTGCGGGCCATGGACTTCTTGGCAGTGGCCTTGCTCTTGGGGCTTGTAGCTGACAGCCTGCACATCTCTTCCGTTGTCAGGGTGGTAGCCTGTGACGGCAATGGCAGCTGTGATGAGCTTGAGTATACTGCCCAGGCCTCCTGCTCGTTGATCCATCTGAACCTCTGGTCGCACCTCTTGCATCGTGCGAACTTGCCGTGAGCATTTCCGTACCGTTGGAAGGCCGGATGTGAGCATGTCTTCGGAGAGGGCTTCGGCTTGGCCATCTTGAGGAGTTGCTGGCTCTTTTGCTCTTCCGCCTCGGTGGCGGTCAACCATGAACGTGGACGAATGCCCACTCGCACCAAGCGGCTCATCGTCTTGAACACGTTCAGCTCCAACATCAGGAGCCGGAGAAGGAAAGTCCTCCACCGGGTCAGCCATTCCGGTGGTTGTCTGGTGGGCGACTGAGGCATGAGCGAGCGTAGGTGCGATCGAATTTGAGCCACTTTGAGAGATCGTGGCTTCCGGGTGGATGACAAGCTCAGGCGACGGCTTCGACCAAAATGAACTGTCAGTCAACTCATCCCAACAAACCATCTGTGAACACTGAGGTGGAAATGCCGTGATACGTGCAACAATGTGACCATGCTTGCGAACCAAAGGAATTGAAACTCCAATCTTCACAAAATGCAAAACACAATGATGCAAATCAATGATGCTGCCCAATTGTTCCAACAAAACTCTGCTTGCAAGAAACGGGATGTTCAATGGCAAAACACTGACGCCAACAATCACTCCCTGGGTCTCCTGACCTGGCAATGCAATCGGGAAGTAGCACCGCTCTGCTGCTTGCTGTGTTGTACCTGCACCGAACTGAAACTTGTCCGAGCAGTCTTCACGAACCGTCTGCATCCCGTGGTTCTGGAGGAGTTTGGAGTGGGTGTTCATCCAACGTTCCCCTGTGCAAGACTTCTGGCAGGCTGTGTCTAAAACCATATATCCACTCAAATCGATGGCTTCCGTGATGTAAACAAAAGGGTTGGCATCATCCTCGACGAGGTTGGTGGGGAAGTTGTGAAAGGTCTCAGGCCCTGGTGGATCTTCATACTGATCTTCGTCCCCGAAGTTGACCACAAATGCTTTCTTTGGGTATGAGGTGGTAGTCAAGGAGGATGCTGACTGACCTGAAAACCTGGATTTGTCTTTCCCCTTCTGCTGGTTCTTCCCTGATCCCTTGGAAGTGCTGCTGCCCCCTTTGCTCGACACGGGGCAAATGCTGTCACCGGCCCAGTGTCCCATTGCACCGCAAGCCGCACATGAAGACGACCGCTTTCGATCTTCGATCGACCGTCTGCCAGTGAACTTGCGTCCCAACACAGTCGCTTGCAGCTTCTTCGAAGTCACAGTGAGGACCTGTGCAAGGTTGTGCAATGCTTCATCTGCATCGTCCTGGGGCTCTGCTTCCTCCTGCTCGGGATCATCTTGTTCTTGTGGCTCCTCTGCTTCATAAAACTCTTCCGGATCAATGTCCGGCAATTCCGGCTCAGCCTCATCTTCCTCAGCGACCTGCTCGGTCTGGTACACACGCTTCGGATAGGAAGGGTAGCCCTTCCCCTTCCCACGGTTGAAGGCTGATGCGGATGAGGGCACTGTTGAGGTGGTTGAGCTCGAGTGCAAAGAACCACTGTGCGACTTGCCGCTTGACTTGTAACCTGACGGCTGCCTGTCTGCTGCTCTGCCAACTGTTGCTTTGAAAGATGGATGGCGTCTGCTTAAAATCCGGAAATTGAAGCTGCAAACTCTCAACAATTAGCATCAAAATCCAAACTGTTGTGGGCACCAATCAACACCAATCGTGACAACGATGGCTCAAGCTTGCAACGCTCCAGAAGTCTGTTGCCGCGGCTTTCTGAATCATACATTGCACCTGCTGAAATCCCAACCGTCTGAAGATCTCGCTCGATCCTCTTGTATACCTGTTAATGTACTGTCGAACTGATTCCTGCGGGGTTCGAGCCACCGTCTCATAAGCTGCAAGGAGGGACCTCTTCTGATACAGAACTTTCTGCTCCAATGGACCCTTCAAGCACGAGATGATGTACTCGACGCCCTCCTTCGAGTTCACCTTGGCGAGCGACATGTGTTCGCTCTCGGCCTCAGCTTCGCCAGTCAAACTGGCGAAGAGCATCAAACCAGCCTCTGCACCTGTCAACTGGTTCTGCACCTGAAGCTTCCAAACCTGAACACGACGTTCCCACTTCGAGAACGCTCGCAAGTCTGAGCTGTTGTAACTCCAACGTGGAGCCGGCGGTGTTCCGCCCTTCCACTTCACGCCAGGAATGGGGCCACGACGACTGTCCCAGCTACCCTGCGAAGCACGATCGGATCCGCGCTTCTCCTCAAGCAGCTGTCGCATGACCTCCAACAACTCATTTGAACTCTTTGCAGCTGTACCAACTGTTGGACCTGGCAACCTTGAAGGCATAGGCAATCTCGATGGGGATGGTCTCTCAACATTCGATCCTGCAGCCGATGGAGCACTGGGGCTAGCGACTTCCGGTTGTGGCGGCTGAGGATCGACAACACTGCGGTTTCTCCTTCTTCGACGTCTTGAGGAGGTGGTCGACTGCCGTTCGGACTCAACAACATTGGGCCAGCTGTAGGTCGACGAAGGCGCAACCACCGACGGGTCATCCGTCGGATCTTCACTCTCACCAGTCTCCCGCGCAGGAGGCGGATCAGGTGGCCCACCATGGCCGCCCTGACGCGTCTCAACTGCAGGCCTCCGGGCAGAAGGTGAAAGGACCGGTCCGGCAGGCGCACTGTCAACACGAGGCACGTACAACCATGTAGCTTGCCTTGTCGGCTCGGCAACGTTGTAGAAACTACCAAAACCGCAAGAAGCACAAACGGAACCAGGGACAATGCTCTGTTGTTGTGCTATTGTATTGCACCGTAAACAACGCATCAACGGAGTTGGGCTCGACGCTGAAGGCTGGCCTGGATCATCAACTGAAGCGTACAGGCGTTCCAAAGCATCCAGCTCTTCCGGACCCCACTCAAAGCGGGAGGCTGAATCATCCTCAGAAAACAGCGTGTACTGCTCCATGGCGCAGGCTCCGGTGCCAACTTACTTACATGTGTGCATTGACATGCAAGTGAAGCGGACGCGAACGCTGGCTTTTCCGCCAAAGCTAAAGTCTAAGGCTCTGTGCGCACCTAGGCCGATATGGCCAGCAACGGCATCAGTCTCATGACGTGCCGAACGAACAGCCCTCCACAGCAAAGTTCACAGGTACAACATCCCAATCACCTACTTGCACACAAACCTCAGGGATTGACACGAATCGGACAATTGGCGGCTTCAGGCCCATGGATCCTAATTTATGTTGATTGGAACGCATTACACAAAACAATACAAAACATAAGAAAACAGCTGACTGATGTACTTCTAGTAAGCCAATTTCTTGTAAACGAATCAACAAATCGTGGCATATAACAACTTCTGCTGTTCGTCGCCGCCGTGGCCTCCAGCTTTGTGCGCTCGGCGAAAGGCTTCCTCAAAGGCCTACGAATGCTATGTGGAAACTGTGGGTCTAAATCAGGTGCCGAAGTGAACAAACTTTCATCAAACCTATAGTGATAGAAGAAGAAGCACCAGCAGCAGCAGTAGTAGTGATAGCAGTGGTGGTGGACACAGTTGACCCATAGTAGTAGTAATAGGAATAGGAGTATGAGCAGGAGTGGGAGTAGGAGTAGGAGTAGTACTAGCACCAGTACTAGTAGTGGTAGTGGTAGTGGTAGCTTATTGGGGCCAACTGGGTCAACGGGATCAACTGGGTCCAGAGATTTAGCGTGGCCCCCTATGCGGTCGCAATGTGTATAAAGAAAACCAAATGTATAATATGTATATGAATATGAATGAGAATCCTAAAACCCGTGGCTTGCTGCGAGTCATGGACTCAAGTAGACCCTACGAGTAAGGACACTTCTGGGGTTTGCTTGCAATGTGAGGTGAGGTCGCGTGGCTCAGCCACAAACACCTCAATTTGTTTTGGACAACGACTGTTACTGTTCCATCACCAGGTGCTACATCTCTTTAAACCTGGCACAAGTTTCGAGGAGACCAGTGGGCGAAGGTAGGGACTGAATTTGCGCGTTGAACCTCCCTTCTGCCAGAGTTTGCGCGTTGAACCAGCAAGGGGTCGGTAGCTCAGGAGGCAGTTGGAACATGTTGGAACCATGCTTGAACACTCCCATTTATGGAGAATATAGTTACCTACGTTAGCCTCTGGGGCCTGGTTGGGCAAAAAAGACCACAGCCACGTCAAATCAAAAATCGGTCCTCTCTCATAGTCGAATCTTCCAACGTCACTGCCTCAGTTGGGCATTGCAGCTCCAGTGTCACTTTCTCAATCTTGCTGTGCTCATGTTGAATGTTTATTCACCTTCGTGGTCAATCACCTCCGTGGAATTGGCCCATCAACAGCCCCCATAACACCATAACTAGCTGACTGTTCCTTCCATTTCCCTTCCTAGCGATCAAGGCCAACTTAGTGAGTGCTGTAGTTCCATCTCCTGCGGATCCCAAAAACAGCCCAAACACTTGGCTGGACACCCTTTGCTCACAGGGGGTCCAGCATCCCTCCAGTCATGGAGGGACCAGTCCCCGGAGGCGGACCCCACCTGAACATGCACAGTACCCCATCCCATCCTTCATCCTCAGCTTTGCGATGCCACACATGAACTAACTTCAAGTCAGCATGCACGCGCATGTGCCCCAAAACAAAACCAACATGGTCAATCATCTTCACCAAACATCTTCAAAACCGCGGACCTCAACTCGTCCTCTCCAAGGGGCGCCCAAGCTCATGTGGAGTCCACCGAAGGATTTCGCACCCAGAAGCTCGCCGACGCTCCTGGCTCTGTCAGAAGCGGCGCGGATGATTGTTTGGAAACCATTTCGGCTTTGTCATTGTGTGGTTTGGTTGTTTGGCCGTTTGATGTTCATGATGCCTTAAAGGTATTTTCATGAGTATGCCAGGATGTCTGCACACTTCACAATCGTCAGCCGATGGAAGGAGCCCGTCTTTCGCTGGAAGGAGACCAGGGTCAGCTCTCAGCTCTTGCAGTGCCATAGAACGAACAAACATAAAACATAGCCGAGAAACATCCTGAAACAAGTGCTTGTGAGCAATACCATATGGACATCTATGGACCTATGGCATATATGGATGTAGTGCAAGTCTGAGCCCATCATCCAGTCTGCTGTCCTTGCAGTGAGCATCCGGTCTGCGGCATTGTCCTTAAAGAACCTGGCTGACCGGCTCACCCCAAGCGTTCAGGACTCACAGTAGGTACCTTTCACCTGCCCTTGGCTCATCCGATCAAGCAATTAAAACACAATGTAGTTATTAATATATATATATATACTCCAATAATAGTTTGGGTCTATCCTATTACCTGGTTGCCAGTGGATGATGATGGTTAGTACAGGCCTTGTTCTAAAATAGTGATATATACTTGTTTACGGGTCCTGTTACAGGCAATAGTCTAGTGGATTGAGAATACATGGCTCAAACATGCTCAAACCCCAAGGTCGGTGGCTTATATGAACCCCCCATGGTAGTACATCGGTTTCGGTCTGTGCCATCTACTCTGAAACCACTGCACCACAGAAGTCGGACTGATCCTACAGCAGCTATAGATGATGACCTGGATGGCTGACATGAACATCCGAGCAACTCACCTGCGAACCCCGTGACAAGCGATCCTTTCTGAAAGAATTCCTTTCAATTCGATGTATGTCATGGTCCACTGAACCACATCCCACAAATTAATACACATCAACTGAAAAAGCCAAGTCTCAACTAATTAAGTGAGCAAAACACTTTCCTAGTATATAGATTGATGTCGCGTCCTGGATCCTCCCAGCGTCATGCACCGCTCTGGGTTTTCCCCACGCGTAGCGCACGTCTGAACCCGGAGGTTTGCTCACCTTACCGGGGCCAAGTGAGCAAAGGCGACGGGATTCGGACAAAGACTGTACCTGGCCAAGGAGAACAGCAACCTATGCGTTCCTGTTTGCAGAAGTCAAATTATCTCAGAGTTCACATGGGTTTGGTCAAAGAAACGCCTGTTCTAAATGTATGTTTACTGATTTTGCCACCTAAACCAGCCTTTGCAAGGCAGCAAAAACTTCCAGAAATCAGCTCATGCGTGTGTGAAAGGTGCTGAAGAGCAAGCAGCCTTGTTGCAGGAGTTTGGATCCAAACCTCTGCCTGCCGCCCTTACAGTAACCTTACAAAACTCTTCAACAATTCAAACATCATCATTGTTGGCAGCAAATCCCCTTTTCAATCTGCATATCACTGCCGCTACAATCAAAGAATAATCTCCTTCGCTTCTGTTGGTACAACATGCTACTACAACTGATCCCGCTCCGCCCTGCGCCCGCCCTGCACTGGCCGCCATCTCCCGGCCCAAGTGGCAAAGGCCAAGGTTGATGGGTTTGGGAGTCGCTGGACCTCGTTTTATGCGCTCGATCAGCGCGTCGTTGTGTCGGCTCTTCGCTTCCGGGACGATGAATGGACATGAAATGACTCCCCGGCCGGTGACGGTACACCAAGCCAACCGGTTTGGCTCGAAACACGACTCCCCGGTGTCGCAGAACAAAGACCAAGCCAAGCGTCTTATTTGTGCTTTTGGGTGCTGGCGATGATCCACGACCGGCTTAGGACATGGTCCTCTGGCCACCGCGGGACGTGTGAAACGGCCCCAACGAAGGGTTTTTGCTGCGCGCGTTGCTGTGCGCTGCCACGGGGTCTTTGGGGGGTCGAATCTGATTCACTGCACCACTACACACCCATATCTCAGCGGTTAAATTCACCATTTCGGGCAAAGGACATGCGAGCCCTCCCGGAGTTGCGAGCCCTCCCTTGAGGAGCAGGCCATGCTGAGATCAACACGATCAGCGGCCAGTGTTTTGTAGAGCTCCTGTTCCGCGAGTCTTGTTTCAACAAACCGAGGCCTGGACAGGGGAATGATGGATCACTGTGAGCTCAACATGCCGCTTTCAAAAGGTGTCCAACCTGCTGGGCAATGGGTAGTTAGCGGTCTGGGTGGGAGTGTATTGGAATCCACTTGAAAACATATCTTGAATAAACAATCACGTGCAGGTTATCGAGACCAACTGGGGCAGGTGTCACTAACATTACAGTATACATCATAAGTTAAATGCAACATATACTAATATAGACACTAATATAAATGCATAGTACACGTGCATAAACCTGCTGCGGCGGCTCCTCTCCGAACATGTCAGAGGAGAGTGCCCCGAGGAAGCTAACTTTGGCTCCCAACCTGCGAGGGCGGCGCAAGGGCTTCACGGTGGCAGCGTGGGTGCCTCTTTCGAGCGGGTGTCTCTTTAAGGCTCTGGCGAACAATCATCACAGGGGAGAACATCGCTTTCCAGGTGGGGCTCTCAAACAAGCGGTGCCAGCAAATCCTGGCACCAGCCAGATCAACGGAGCTGCTGGAGAAGCTGGGACTCGTACCCGGAAGAGCCTGCTGGGTCTACAGTAGTCCTCCAGAACGAAATACTATATCCATCAGTGGCCGAATGAAACAAGAATGGCACACACTCTGTCGGGTTTGGCCGAAACTGGTCGGTCTGGCTCCAACGATGTGGGTCGGACCCCTGTCGGTCCGATTGTAGGTCACTGCTTCCACGGATTTGACGCACTGGACGCTCGCACCTGGACGCGGCAATGCAAACGTTCAGCGGCGCCCCTGGACCGGCCGGTGTGGACCCAGAGAAGCGGTAGAAGGGACCTGGGTGTCTATTGGAGGGTAAGGGGCTGTTGGTCTTCCGCCCTCAGCTGTTGGTCTTCCAAATATGTCCAAATGCCTTCCACCAATGAATTTTGGTTTTCCTTTTGGTACTTCAGGGACTCCAAAAGGCTTAGACTAAATATTGACCACCTTCGTCTCGTGTGGGAAATCTCCAAATATCTCTGGCAACAGGCAAACCTCATGACCTGTAACATTATATAAAATACACAAACTATATATAATATACCTACACAAAAAATACATATCTTACTTGTTGGAACAGGTTCACCATGGTGACACTACTTTGGAACAAGCAAATACGGAAAAACAGAAACGAGACAGCTGGTTGAAATCAGCCATTACTCTGCAGCACAAGAAGTGTGTTTGTCGTGGAGGAAAAGGCTTCAGTGTATCGAATATAATATACTCCAGACATATATAATTGGTACAAATAATAATATGCCAAACTATTTGAATGCCGATTACTTGCAAATGAAGAGTGCCTAGTGAAGGATGATTTGCATGTTTTGTCAGCATTCATTGATCCCAACAAAAGCTGCCACATTCACCGTCCCAATGCAGACAATAGATTTGACTTGACAGCAGTGGGTATCTTTGAGATTCTTGTCATCCTGGGTTCCTGATGTGAACGTGCGATGTGTCACATGCGACTTCGCGATGTGTCAGGCTTCATGTATCCTCCTCAAAAGAAAAGTGCTGGCGTATAGAGTGGTGGTGGCAATGGTGGTTTATTGCCAGGAATCTCAGAGTCCAAAGACCAAAAACATCCTCAGCTTGCGCACAGGGGGTTGTTCCTCCGATCCAGACCTCCACATACCATCTCATGGTTGAGAGGTTGGGTTTCGCTGCCTTTTCTCTTCGCCTGCTTTGTGGGCTCAAAAGATGAATTCATTCCAGGACCTGGACCCCATAGCAACAGGCAAAACACCTGCAGTCATGCTGGCTACATCTGGTTTGACCGGTTTGCTGAAACATGGTGTGAACTGAGGCAAACCACTGCCCCCAGCCAATGTCTCAGAAAATATGGCCTTTCTAGCCCGGCCCAGGTCCATTGCGATTACAAAGGCCCCCAGTTGAGGAAATAGGTCGAGAATCCTAGACCCTCCCTTTCCAAGAAGGGAGAGGTCCACTGGGAAGCCTAGTACAGTGCAGCGATCTTCAAGGACATGCACCAGCTCTCCGGCGGAGCACCGGCTCTCTCATCCGCCGGAAGACGCGTGACGTCGGCCTCCCAGGCTGGCGCCAACCCGAACAAATGGAGAGAAACAATGGTCCTCGACAAGTTAACGTGTGGTTCTTAGTCCCATATGAACTTTGAGCAATGGCAACCTAAAAACATACTATATAGTTTGATCTTGTTTGATCTCTATTAGGATTTCAAGGAGGGGTTGGGCGGACCATTTTATAAGTATAAAATTGTTGGGCCCCAGAAAAGACTAGAAAATGACAGCGGATTCCCGAAAAAAGTGCTCTATAAAATGCACACAAATTAAAAGAAAACAACAAGAGTACGAGTCGAGGGTCAGTAGCTGTCCTCTACAAAATTGTTCTACACAACCCTTGAAGCAATTTGAAGAAAATTGCCAAAGGTTGGATTTGCCGGTTATGCCGTTCATGCTGCGCTCATGCGTCCACTAAAAAGTCAAAAAAATCAAAAAGCACACTGAATACATATGAATAAACGAAAACAAGTGAGCTCAGAGAACGTTCAGGAAACAAGATTCTGTCAATGGCGCTCAATTTCTCAAAGGGCAGGGATTGGGCTGAGTCCTTGACTGTTCATGGCCTTTAGAAAATGATATGCCCAGCGTCTCTTCCAAGTGCGTTTCATCCTTAAAATTTGTCTCTAGAAAATGTATAGTTTTGCCTCTGATCTCTGCCACAGATGTCATCAACACCATCAATTACTATTAAAATTCTATAAAATGCATGTGCATCCCGAAATTTAACAAATTGCAAAACAAAAGCTACCCATGTCCTAGAACCATTCCAATGGGGATATAGTTCGTGTCTACTCGCCAGTTCTTGGAAGACCTTGCCAGAAGCACTGGATAGGCGAGGCCAACATCGTCTTTCATCGTCTTTCTATAGCATGTGGCTAACCGTGAATGGTAAACAACACGAAAAAACTGACATGTGCGATTCCACCCTAGCTGTTCATACCTTGAGATCTTGTTCCAGTTCGGTCTCCTCTCCCCATCCACCTGAAGTCTTGACAACTGATGGCTCACATAATTATTCTCAAAACAAGCTTCTGCAAACATGGAGCCCGAGCAGTGATTGTTGTTGATCTGTTGATATCATTAAGCTATGATGTGTGACAGGAGCCGGGCTTTGAGCATGAATGCTCGACGTACAGTAGCTTCAGTAGCTATGTTCCTTTTCCTGACTTCTTGATACACTGACATAACACTCTAAGACCTCCTTCAAGCCTTTTCCTTCAAGCTGACGTAGACTTTGAAGCCAAGTTGGCAGCTCTCATCCACCCAGCTGTGTGTTTTCCTAATTGACCATCGCCCAGCCTGCTTTGGCACCTTTAGGGGGCCTCGACAGTCTCCACGGGCGTCTCAGCTGTCTCTGGCGTCTCAGCCGTCTCTGAAGCCTCTGGGGCCTCCACTGTCTCGGGGGATGGTGCAACAGGGGCCACTGCTGGCGCTTGAGTGGGTGCCACTGCTGGTGCCTGGGTGGGTGCCACTGCTGGTGCCTGGGTGGGTGCCACTGCTGGTGCCTGGGTGGGTGCCACTGCTGGCGCCTGGGTGGGTGCCACTGCTGGTGCCTGGGTGGGTGCCACTGCTGGCGCTTGAGTGGGTGCCACTGCTGGTGCTTCAGTCACCCTGGCGCGGAGTAGTAGGGTGAGGCCAAGGATTGGGAGGTTAAGCCATGTTCCACTTCGCTCAGGGTGCAACAGTCCAAATTAGTGGGATTCTGAACGGCCCGTCTCTCGACATGTTGTCGAGAGAGCTGGCTAGATGGTGTTCCTGGACTTGACCCATACATGACCAAATGCCACCCCAAAGGCTCATCCAAGGCCCTGAATCTTCAATGCAACTGCGGCCAGGTGGCCCTGTGAAGCCGAAGAGCTGGGCGATGGCCGCGGGAGCTGTCTCGGCCTGGGTGCCAAGGTGCAGTTGTCGACGACCGGGTCCTGGCAGCTAGCCGAGACACAGCCAGCTGCCCAAGAAAATGGTCAACGCATTGGATGAACATATGCTTTAATACACGGCGTCTTTTCACTAGATAACATATACCCTCGTCATCCCCATTGCAAACGATGGCAGAAACTGCCCCGCATTGGGTCCGGTCCAGTCTTCCAACAAGGGTGCTCAAAATGACAAGCAGGTCATTGCATTAGACACTTGGTTAAAAGTAGATACAACAGCCTAGCAGTGGCAACAGCATACTGGCCCTTGAGTAGGAAACCAACAAGCAAGCGCACAAACTGTAAACATACCAGGCAGGCAGGCAAACAAGTATGGAACTACTAGCTAAGTAGCTACACTATTAAAGTCGGTTGGCAAGCAAACTTCTACGGCAGGTAAGTGAGCAGGTAAGTAGCAGTTAGTAAATAATATATATATATATAAAGGCCGGCACTCACTCTGGGCCTGTGTCATCACTTAGAAGTTAGAAGTACTTAAGTACCTCTGCAATTCCGCCCGACACGAAAACGCCCCGCAGTGGCACCAAGGCACTGCGGACATGGCAGCTTCCGAGGTGGCTCCCGCATCCAGGAGGCTCTTCACGATCTCCACCTCGCCCAACCACACCTGGCGGCCACAGGCGGCCACTGCAGCGGCTGCAGCGGCCACGCTGAATACGCACGCTCCACAGCCAGGTCGTTAGACAGAAACCATGCCCCAGAAAACAAAAAACAATAAACACGAGAAGACATCCGGTGAGCCACTCCCGCAGCTCAAAAGGTGAAGCCACTCACGGTCCAACAGGGCAGGTTTTCACTGGAGGGCTGCCTGCAGTACAGTAAATGGTATAAGTCGAATGGAAAGTACTCTCCGAAGTGGCCTGCCCCAGGAAGTCCATTTCAATGCGAAGAACGTCGATATGATATTAATCTATATATGATTCCAGATTCTATATGATCCTCCACTGCACCATACGCCCTCAAAACGGATGGAGCATTCCACTGGGGGTCGTTCACCAAATAATACCAAATATTAAGTTCTAGTTCTAGAACCATTACATGCTGGGGGTCGGACGTTCACCAAGCAGTCTAGAATTCCAGAAATCGTTGACAAGTCCAGGTCCTTCTGCAACCCACAACCAAGGTGTCCTTTCGACACCAGACTACGCACACGCTTTGAGCAAAAGTATGGGCCCAAACAGGCATGTGGCTCCGAGTCCTTTGGAGCCCGCTTTGCTAAGAAGATTGCGAGAGGTCTAGGACTCGGGCTCCAAAGGAAATGGCCCGACTCGGGCTCGTCCATTTGGGGAACATCAAAAAAAGGAGGCCCTCGCTCCGTCGGTGCGGTCGATTCCGGACGTGGGCCAGGCCCGATCGTCTTCGCTGCTTGCGTCACAAGCCCTACCCTCAGCACCCCCGTAAAAACTAGACCCAAAAGCGTGTTCAAGGATGTGTCTATGCTGTTTAATTCTTCAAGTTGACCTCAGCTTTCCAAGATAACGTTTTCGGCACCTGGGAAAGCTGAAGCGAACCCTTTCTTGGCGAACCGTCCGCTACCCCGGTGAACGAAGACGCGCCGCGGTGCACTCGCGCTTCATCCGCCCCAACGGCCCGAGGCACTGCACGGGTCAGCAAGTCCACGTTGTCACCGTCCGTGGGACTGGACGAGCAGTACGGGACCGTGGGCGTAGCCAAAAAGGACAGAAACATCTGTCAGGGGACTACTCCAAATGCCCCCAAAAAGCATTTGGAATTTTGTGGTGAAGTTGTCATTCTACCTTTCGGGGGTCCAGGTCCT